CAGGAGCTTTGCAAGCCCTTACAAACTACATGGACACAGAGGGGATATATAGGCTCAGGTGAGGTGCAATACGCGGATATAGTAGTGTATAAAGTATAGTTGATAAAGAATAGAGGATATAAGTAGTAAATAGTAGTGAATAAGAGTAGTTATAGTAGAATAAAAATGTAAAACAATTAAATTTCACATGAGTAAAGGATTAAAAGCTATTCTTGGAAAATAAAAAATTTTACAAATTTTTTCTATTGGAAAAACTGGTGGAGAAGGCTTTAAATGTTCATCCTCGAATTTCTTGTGAGTTTAACAGGAGAGAGCTATGTGAGGGAGGGGTTTTCTGTTTTTTTGGGCGATTTTGTAAGACTTTTAGAGATGGTGAAGCTGCCGTTGTTTTGTTTAATTGTATTAGAAACAGCTATTAGTGAAGGTTCAAGGCACTTGCGTCTGTGGAAATTAGTTTCTTTGATCACTAACTGGACGTCTCTGAACTCCATGAGATGATTGGTGGAATTTCGGTATTGTACACAGGCGTTGTTCAAGTTATCGTTCCTACATGCGTAAATGTGTTCATTGAGGTGGGTGTCGATGTTTCTTGCTGTTTCCCCTACATAAATCTTGTCACAGCCTCCACAGGGTATAGTGTAAACTCCTGCTTTGACTGATTCGTGGTGCTTGGATTTTGTTCTGGTTAGATCCTTTATCGTAGTGCTGGAAGCGATGGCGACTCTGGTGTTAGCTTGTGAAAGTACTTTAGAAACGTTCAGTGCAACCTGGCTGTTGGAAAGAATTATAACTTTGTTGGGAATGGTTTTGGTGCGTGAAGAATTAATGATCTGAAGAGCTCTTTTCTTGCAGTCTTTGATGAAAAAGGAAGGAAAATGTAAATCAGTGAATGTTTGGTGAATGTATGTACATTCCTCGTCAAGAAACTCAGGACTACAAATTCGGTATTATGCTCTCAGGAAAAGCCCGATGATGATGATGTCTCTTTTGGTCTTAGTATCTTGATTTTCTATACAAAACCAGACAAATACTCAAACGCACTAGGGAAGGGAAGAAACTTCTGTACTTGTTACCCAGCACCCCTAAACCAGCACACATGTATGCTTTCCCCAAGACCCATAAACACAATATTCCTCTCAGACCAATCACGTCAGGAATAGGCAGTGCACCACACAAACTAGCCGGAGTTCTTGCCAAACATCTTTCCTGCCTTCTGGGGACCATCAGCCCCGCTCATCTTAAACATTCAGGCGACCTTCTCAACCGCATCCGAAACCTCTGCATCCGTAACAAGAAACTAAGCAGTTTGGACGTGACTTCCCTCTTCACAAAAGTACCTACCACAAAAGCCATCGAGGTTCTACGACGTAAAGTCAATCAGGACTTTAATCTTCCTCTACCTCCCGGAGATTTTGTTGACTTGATTGAACTCTGTGTTAATTTCAACTGTTTTTCTTTCAATAACAAGCTCTACAAACAAACCTACGGCATGGGAATGGGGTCCCCATCAGTGCCGTCCTAGCCAACTTATACATGAACACCTAGAGCCCGAACACTTCGCCAACATCATCCTTCAAGCGTCACTTGGTTACGTTACGTGGACGACGTCCTCGTAATAACTCCCAAACGTTTTGATGTACGGAATCTTCAGGCAAGGCTCAACGCAGTTGAACCGGCGATCCAGTTCACACTAGAAGAAGAGTCCAATGACAAGATACCTTTCCTCGACGTCCTCATTCACAAAGTAGACAACAACCTAAGATTTCAAGTTTATCGGAAACCTGCAAATAAAAATGATCTCACACACTTCTATTCCAGACAAGATACCAAGACCAAAAGAGACATCATCATCATCGGGCTTTTCCTGAGAGCATAATACCGAATTTGTAGTCCTGAGTTTCTTGACGAGGAATGTACATACATTCACCAAACATTCACTGATTTACATTTTCCTTCCTTTTTCATCAAAGACTGCAAGAAAAGAGCTCTTCAGATCATTAATTCTCCACGCACCAAAACCATTCCCAACAAAGTTATAATTCTTTCCAACAGCCAGGTTGCACTGAACGTTTCTAAAGTACTTTCACAAGCTAATACCAGAGTCGCCATCGCTTCCAGCACTACGATAAAGGATCTAACCAGAACAAAATCCAAGCACCACGAATCAGTCAACGCAGGAGTTTACACTATACCCTGTGGAGGCTGCGACAAGATTTATGTAGGGGAAACAGCAAGAAACATCGACACCCGCCTCAATGAACACATTTACGCATGTAGGAACGATAACTTGAACAACGCCTGTATACAATACAGAAATTCCACCAATCATCTCATGGAGTTCAGAGACGTCCAGTTAGTGATCAAAGAAACTAATTTCCACAGACGCAAGTTCCTTGAACCTTCACTAATAGCTGTTTCTAATACAATTAAACAAAACAACGGCAGCTTCACCATCTCTGAAGTCTTTGCAAGAATCGTCCTGAAAACAGTAAACCCTGCCATCACATAGTCTCTCCTGTTAATACTACACAAGCACATTACAGAGGATGAACATTGTAACAGACCTTCTCCATCCAGCTTCCAATAGAAATATTTGTCTAAAATATTTTTATGTTTCCCAAGTAATAGCTTTTATATCCTTTACTCATGTGCAAGTTAATTGTTTTAACATATTGTATTGCTACTACTACTACTACTACTTATGTCACTACTACTACTACTTATATCACTACTACTACTACTTATATCACTACTACTACTACTTATATCACTACTACTACTACTTATATCACTACTACTACTACTTATGTCACTACTACTACTACTTATATCACTACTACTACTACTTATATCACTACTACTACTACTTATATCACTACTACTACTACCACTAGTATTGCACCTCACTCTGAGCCTATATATACCCTCTGTGTCCATGTATTGTTTGTAACGGCTTGACAAAGCTCCTGGAGAGCGAAACGTTGCCACAATAAAATGTCACATTAGTTGCACTTGTGTCCTTTTACTTTACAAGATATACTGTACCACTATGATGTATTGTACCATTAAGTTAAATTGTACCACTAAGTTATATTGTACCACTATGATATACTGTACCACTATCATATATTGTACCACTAAGATATACTGTACCACTAAGTTATATTGTACCACTAAGATATACTATACCATTATCATATATTGTACCACTAAGATGTATTGTAGCACTAAGATATATTGTACCACAATGATGTATTGTACCACTATGATATACACTGTGTACCACTATGATATGCTGTACCAGTATGATATATTGTACCACTATGATATACACTGTGTACCACTATGATATACACAGTGAACCATTATGATATACACTGTGCACCATTATGATACACTGTACCACTATGATATACACTGTGCACCATTATGATACACTGTACCACTATGATATACACTGTGTACCACTATGATATACACAGTGTACCACTATGATATACACTGTGTACCACTATGATATATTGTACCATTATGATATACTGTACCACTATGATATAGACTGTGTACCACTGTGATATACACTGTGTACCACTATGATATACACCGTGTACCACTATGATATACACAGTGTACCACTATGATATACACTGTGTACCACTATGATATATTGTACCATTATGATATACTGTACCACTATGATATAGACTGTGTACCACTGTGATATACACTGTGTACCACTATGATATACACCGTGTACCACTATGATACATAGTACCACTATGATATACACAGTGTACCACTATGATATACACTGTGTACCACTGTGATATACACTGTGTACCACTATGACATACACTGTGTACCACTATGACATACACTGTGTACCACTATGATACACTGTACCACTATGACATACACTGTGTACCACTATGATATACACTGTGTACCACTATGACATACACTGTGTACCACTATGATACACTGTACCACTATGATATACACTGTGTACCACTATGACATACACTGTGTACCACTATGATACACTGTACCACTATGACATACACTGTGTACCACTATGATATACACTGTACCACTATGACATACACTGTGTACCACTATGATATACACTGTGTACCACTATGATATACTGCATGATATACTGGGTGGCCCCGGTGGCCTGGCTGGCCCCGGTGGCCTGGCTGTCCCCGGTGGCCTGGCTGTCCCCGGTGGCCTGGCTGTCCCCGGTGGCCTGGCTGGCCCCGGTGGCCTGGCTGTCCCCGGTGGCCTGGCTGTCCCCGGTGGCCTGGCTGTCCCCGGTGGCCTGGCTGGCCCCGGTGGCCTGGCTGTCCCCGCTGGCATGGCTGGCCCCGGTGGCCTGGCTGTCCCCGGTGGCATGGCTGGCCCGGGTGGCCTGGCTGGCCCGGGTGACCTCGCTGGCCCGGGTGACCTAGCTGGCAAAGCTCCCGCTTCACACACGGAGGGCCCGGGTTCGATTCCGGGTGGGGTGGAAACAGTCAGACGCGTTTCCTTACACCTGTTGTCCACTTCACGTAGCAGCAGGTAGGTACCTGGGTGTTATTCTACTGGTGTGGGTGGCATCCTGGGGGACAACACTGAGGACCACAATGGATTATCTTGGCTGGCTAACCCTCCGGCAATAGTACATAATTACATCACCTTGAGTACCTGATGATCTCTTGCACCTAATTACCTCACCTTGAGCACATTAATACCTCACCTTGAGCACCTATTCAGCTCTAACACCTAATTACCTCGCATTGAGCACCTATTCAGGTCTAACGACTAATTACCGTACCTTAAGCACCTAATAACCTCTAACACCTAATTATCTCACCTTCAGCATATAATTCAATCACCTTGAGCACCTAAAGACCTCTTGCACCTAATTATCTCAGCTTGAGCACAAAATTACTTCACCTTAAACACCTAATTAAATCACCTTGGGAACCTAATTAAATAAGTTTGAGCTACCTAATTACCTTGAACTCCTTCTTAACGTAGTAATCGCCCTCAGCATCAACACTCCAGACCGTCAGAAGACCATTCTGGTCTCCGGTAATTAGGTCGCCGCAGGTGTGTATTCCAGTGCAGTTATGTTCCTGTCAGAGACCTGGAGGATGAATAATTAGGTGAGGTGGGGTGAATTTGATCCTAATTGCTGCTCAGTTCTGTAATTAACAGTGTTAATAACCCTTAATTAAGATATGAAAGTTATCGTATTAATGACCCAGGCACCTAATAACATTCCTAGGCACCTAATAACATTCCTAGGCACCTAATAACATTCCTAGGCACCTAATAACATTCCTAGGCACCTAATAACCTTCCTAGGCACCTAATAACATTCCTAGGCACCTAATAACATTCCTAGGCACCTAATAACATTCCTAGGCACCTAATAGCACAACCATGCACCTAACAACACACCAAGACATTTAATAACACACTCAGGCACCTAATAACTCACCCAGGCACCTAGTAACTCACCCAGGCACCTAGTAACTCAGCCAGGTACCTAATATCTCACCCAGGCACCTAATAACTTACTCAGGCATCTAATAACTCACCCAGGCACCTAATAACACACCTAGGAGCCTAATAAATCACCCAGGCACCTAACAACACACACAAGCACCTAATACCACATCCAGGCACCTAATAACACACCCAGACACCTAATAACTCACCCAGGCACCTAATAAGTCACCCAAGCACCTAATAGCTCACCTAGACACCTAATAACACACAGGCATCTAATAACTCACCCAGGCACCTAATAACACACCCAGGCACCTAATTACTCACCTGGAGGAGGTCGGACCGGGTGAAGATGCCATCCTTCCTCCTGGACCAGAGAGTTAGGTGTCCCAGGCCGTAAGTAACTATCAGGTTGTTGTCGAACGGGTGAAACGAGGCACCTAACACCTGTTGATGAGTCTGTAAGGTGAAGGTGTTAGTCTGAGGGTAATTAGGTTCTAAGAAGGGTATTTAGCGTTTTTAGCTAATTTGGAGTAATTAGGTACTAAGAAGGCTAATTAGAGTCATTAGGTACATAAGTTTAGGGTAATTACGTACTAAGAAGGGTAATTTCGGTTGTTAAGTACATAACTTGAGGGTAATTAGGTATTAAGAAGAATTATGATCATTAAGAACCTAACTTGAAGGGAATTAGGAGCGTTAGGTGCAAAACCAGGGTAAATAAGAGCATTATTTACTTACTTGAGTACCTAACGATGATAATTGGTGCTATTATCCACCTATCTAGAGTGAATAAGAACATAAGGAATTTAACATGAGGTTTATTAGGAGTCTTAGGTACTTATTTGCGGGTAATTATTATGTGTATTAGCTATCTAACTTGAGAATAATTAGGTACCTAACTTGGGCTTATTTATGAGGTAAACTATGGTGATTAGGGTCATTTAGTATGTGACTTGTGGGTTATTAAGTACGTAAGTAATTATGGGGTCTTTAGGTACCTAACTTGAGAGTAATTATGTACTTAGTTTGAGAATGATCAGGTAGGTAACTTGAGAGTAAATAGGTACCTAACAAGGATAATTAGTTCACTTACCGCCACTTTCCCGAGGACTTTCTCGTTGTCCCAAGACCAGACCGACATTAGGTACTCTCTCTCACCGTCGACAGTAAGTAGGAACTCCCCATTGTTCTGGAAAAACAATAATAGTAGGAACTCCCGTTGTTCTGGAACATCAGTAACAGTAAGTAGGTACTTCCAGTTGTACTGGAACAACAGTAACATCAACGGTAACAGCAACAGGAACCATTCAGTGTGTAAATAAATACCTTGCATGGTAAGTAATACCACTGTTGTGATACCATGGTTAATAATACCACTGTTGTGATACCATGGCTAATAATACCACTGTTGTGATACCATGGTTAGTAATACCACTGTTGTGATACCATGGTTAATAATACCACTGTTGTGATACCATGGTTAATAATACCACTGTTGTGATACCATGCTTAGTAATACCACTGTTGTGATACCATGGTTAATAATACCACTGTTGTGATACCATGGTTAATAATACCACTGTTGTGATACCATGGTTAATAATACCACTGTTGTGATACCATGGTTAATAATACCACTGTTGTGATACCATGGTAAGTAATACCACTGTTGTGATACCATGGTTAATAATACCACTGTTGTGATACCATGGTTAATAATACCACTGTTATGATACCACGGTTAATAATACCACTGTTGTGATACCATGGTTAATAATACCACTGTTGTGATACCATGGTTAATAATACCACTGTTGTGATACCATGGTTAATAATACCACTGTTGTGATACCATGGTTAATAATACCACTGTTGTGATACCATGGTTAGTAATACCACTGTTGTGATACCATGGTTAGTAATACCACTGTTGTGATACCATGGTTAGTAATACCACTGTTGTGATACCATGGTTAGTAATCCCAAACTTTGTGATACCATGGTTAGTAATACCACGTTGTGATACCATGGTTAGTAATACCCATGTTGTGATACCATGGTAATAATACCACTGTTGTGATACCATGGTAGTATACCACTGATGTGATACCATGGTAATATCCCCACTGTGTGATACCATGGTTAGTAATACCACTGTTGTGATACCATGGTTAGTAATACTACTGTTGTGATACCATGGTTAGTAATACCACTGTTGTGATCCCATGGTTAATAATACCAATGTTGTTACCATGGTTAGTAATACCACTGTTGTGATACCATGGTTAATAATTACCACTGTTGTGATACATGGTTAATAATACCACTGTTGTATACATGGTTAATAATACCATGTATGTGATACCATGTTAGTAATACCACTGTTGTGATACATGGTTAGTATATACACTGTGTGATACCATGGTTAGTAATACCACTGTTGTGATACCATGGTTAGTAATACCACTGTGTGATACCATGGTTAATAATACCACTGTTGTGATACCATGGTTGTAAATACCACTGTTGTGATACCATGGTTAATAATACCACTGTTTGTGATACCATGTTAGTAATACCACTGTATGTGATACCATGGTTAGCAATACCACTTTCTGATACCAGTTAGTAATACACTGTTAACCATGGTTATAATACCACTGTTGTGATACCATGGTTAGTATACACTGTTGTGATACCATGGTTAGTATACCACTGTTGTGATACCAGGTTATATACCACTGTGGATACCATGTTAGTAATACCACTGTTGTGATACCATGGTTAATAATACCACTGTTGTGATACCTGTTAATAATACCATGTGTGTACCATGGTTAGTAATACACTGTTGTGATACAGGTTATAATACCACTGTTGTGATAATGGTAATAATACCACTGTTGGATACCAGTTTAGTAATACCACTGTTGTGTACCACGGTTAATAATACCACTGTATGTGATACCATGGTTAATAATACACTGTGTGTGATACATGGTTAATAATACCATGTTGTGATACCATGGTTAATAATACCACGTTGTGATACCATGGTTAAAATCCACTGTTGTGATACATTTTTAGTAATACCACGTTGTGATACCATGGTTAATAATACCACTGTGATACCATGGTTAGTAATACCACTGTTGTGATAACATGGTTAATAATACCACTGTTGTGATCATGGTTAATAATACCACTGTTGTGATACCATGGTTAGTAATACCACTGTATGTGATACCATGGTTAATATACACTGTTGTGATACCATGGTTAGTAATACCACTGTTGTGATACCATGTTAAAATACCACTGTTGATACCATGGTTAGTAATACCACTGTTGTGATACCACGGTTAATAATACCACTGTTGTGATACCATGGTTAATAATACCACTGTTGTGATACCATTGTTAATAATACCACTGTTGTGATACCATGGTTAATAATACCACTGTTGTGATACCATAGTTAGTAATACCACTGTTGTGATACCACGGTTAATAATACCACTGTTGTGATACCATGGTTAGTAATACCACTGTTGTGATACCATGGTTAATAATACCACTGTTGTGATACCATGGTTAATAATACCACTGTTGTGATACCATGGTTAGTAATACCACTGTTGTGATACCACGGTTAATAATACCACTGTTGTGATACCATGGTTAATAATACCACTGTTGTGATACCATGGTTAATAATACCACTGTTGTGATACCATGGTTAATAATACCACTGTTGTGATACCATGGTTAATAATACCACTGTTGTGATACCATGGTTAATAATACCACTGCTGTGATACCATGGTTAATAATACCACTGTTGTGATACCATGGTTAGTAATACCACTGTTGTGATACCATAATTAGTAATACCACTGTTGTGATACCATGGTTAGTAATACCACTGTTGTGATACCATGGTTAGTAATACCACTGTTGTGATACCAGGTTATAATACCACTGTTGTGATACATGGTTAGTAATACCACTGTTGTGATACCATGGTTAATAATACCACTGTTGTGATACCATGGTTAGTAATACCACTGTTGCGATACCATGGTTAGTAATACCACTGTTGTGATACCATGGTTAGTAATACCACTGTTGTGATACCATGGTTAGTAAACTACTGTTGTGATACCTGGTTAGTAATACCACTGTTGTGATAACCATGGTTTAATAATACCACTGTTGTGATACCATGGTTAGTAATACCACTGTTGTGATACCAGGTTAATAATACCACTGTTGTGATACCATGGTTAATAATACCACTGTTGTGATACCATGGTTAATAATACCACTGTTGTGATACCATGGTTAGTAATACCACTGTTGTGATACCAGGTTATAATACCACTGTTGTGATACCATGGTTAAATACCACTGTTGTGATACCATGGTTATAATACCAGTTGTGATACCATGGTTAATAATACCATGTTGTGATAACATGGTTAGTAATACCACTGTTGTGATACCATGGTTAATAATACCACTGTTGTGATACCATGGTTATAATACCACTGTGTGATACCATGGTTAGAATGCCACTGTTGTGAACCATGGTTAGTAATACCACTGTTGTGATACCATGGTTAGTAATACCACTGTTGTGATACCATGGTTAGTAATACCACTGTTGTGATACCATGGTTAGTAATACCACTGTTGTGATACCATGGTTAATAATACCACTGTTGTGATACCATGGTTAATAATACCACTGTTGTGATACCATGGATAATAATACCACTGTTGTGATACCATGGTTAATAATACCACTGTTGTGATACCATGGTTAATAATACCACTGTTGTGATACCATGGTTAGTAATACCACTGTTGTGATACCATGGTTAATAATACCACTGTTGTGATACCATGGTTAGTAATACCACTGTTGTGATACCATGGTTAAGTAATACCACTGTTGTGATACCATGGTTAATAATACCACTGTTGTGATACCCTGGTTAATAATACCACTGTTGTGATACCATGGTTAGTAATACCACTGTTGTGATACCACGGTTAATAATACCACTGTTGTGATACCATGGTTAATAATACCACTGTTGTGATACCATGGTTAATAATACCACTGTTGTGATACCATGGTTAATAATACCACTGTTGTGATACCATGGTTAATAATACCACTGTTGTGATACCATGTTTAGTAATACCACTGTTGTGATACCATGGTTAATAATACCACTGTTGTGATTCCATGGTTAGTAATACCACTGTTGTGATACCATGGTTAATACCACTGTTGTGATACCATGGTTAATAATACCACTGTTGTGATACCATGGTTAGTAATACCACTGTTGTGATACCATGGTTAGTAATACCACTGTTGTGATACCATGGTTAATAATACCACTGTTGTGATACCATGGTTAATAATACCACTGTTGTGATACCACGGTTAATAATACCACTGGTGTGATACCATGGTTAATAATACCACTGTTGTGATACCATGGTTAATAATACCACTGTTGTGATACCATGGTTAATAATACCACTGTTGTGATACCATGGTTAGTAATACCACTGTTGTGATACCACGGTTAATAATACCACTGTTGTGATACCATGGTTAATAATACCACTGTTGTGATACCATGGTTATAATACCACTGTTGTGATACCATGGTTAATAATACCACTGTGTGATACCATGGTTAGTAATACCACTGTTGTATACCAGTTAATAATACCACTGTTGTGATACCATGGTTATAATACCACTGTTGTGATACCATGGTTATAATACCACTGTTGTGATACCAGGTTAATAATACCACTGTTGTGATACCATGGTTAATAATACCACTGTTGTGATACCATGGTTATAATACCACTGTTGTGATACCATGGTTAGTAATACCACTGTTGTGATACCATGGTTAGTAATACAACTGTTGTGATACCATGGTTAATAATACCACTGTTGTGATACCATGGTTAGTAATACCACTGTTGTGATACCATGGTTAATAATACCACTGTTGTGATACCATGGTTAGTAATACCACTGTTGTGATACCTGGTTAGAATACCACTGTTGTGATACATGGTTAGTAATACCACTGTTGTGATACCATGGTTAGTAATACCACTGTTGTGATACCATGGTTAGTAATACCACTG